TCAATTTCTATATGGGCGCTGAGTTGAAAAACGGGCGTCAGGTGGGGACGGGCGTCAGGTGATCAACTACGGTACCGCATGCGGAGCCGAGCCGACAACAACAACAACTACTATTGACCCCGATTCCCGAACGATAATCTAAGCAGAGGGTTATTTCCCGCAAAGTCCACGGGAAGCAAGGTCTGGAATGAGATACGGTCAAGTCTGATATCGAAATTATCTGCCTGGAACGAAGAAACTATGAGCGGCGGTACAAAACTCATTACTATTACTACTACTGTTTCCAAGCTTCTCTCGACGACAACCAGCTCTGACCCACCAAATCCAACCTCCGCAGACGGTTGCGCTATCAAGGACGGCACAGAGGGCGTCTGTTGGAACAAATGTGATCCCAAGACCTCCAAACCCGTGAGTGAGGAATGGTCCGAGGGCGACCCGTGATACTGGCTTAAATCCGGCGATATGGGAGCTTTCTGCAGCAAAGTAGATAATTGCCCGTCAGAACTTGAGTGTCAGCCAAGTGACTGGGAACACGGAGGATAAGCCGCACCCAAGCCAGTTTCTAGCAGATGTGCTCTTATAGACGGTATTCAGGGCGTATGCTGGAGCAAATATGATCCTAAAACTTCAGAGCCAGTCACCGAGCAATGGAACAAGGGCGACCCATGGTGCTGGCTCAAATCGGATGATATCGGTGCTTTTTGTAACGATTCGGATGAATGTTCAGCGGATCTCCAGTGCCAACCAGCTAGCTGGAATAAAGGGGGGTGCTCGGCAAATACTCAGTTATCCCTCCTGAGCCTGTCCGATAATAGGACCTCCAACGCTAGTGTCAAATCCCATGGCCTACGACTTGATTTATATCAAACTACCTAGGACTTTTTGAAAGTCGTTCCGGTCCTATACGCAGTGAATCGTTCCTATAACTACATTCCCCCTAAATATTGAGCAGCTGGCTATACTAATAGATAATGTCGTACATGGTCCGCTTTTTGGAAGCAGCTACAGAATATTTATCTTATGGAGTTTCTGTAGGCGTTCTGCAGGGACCAGGTGCACCGCAGTAGTCAAAAGAGATGAAATTAAGCAACAAATATCTTGGTCGATACTGAATTGAACTGAATTGATTGATTACCTATCTAAAAGGTGTCTTGAAGAAGTAAACAAACAGTGAAATGCCTGGCTGCTTGCCTCAAGTATCCAAACGCCTACAATACCGGTCAACATAGAATCACAATAATACCGGACATGTCAATTGATCCTCGAATGGGTTCACGTCTATTATTGAATAGTTTTGCGTCAGTATATCAATGTCACTCTCCATGTACCCATTTTAAGGGGCTTTGGGAAATGAAAGGCATATTACTACGATCTTTGCTACGGCAGAGCTAAGATTATGAAGAGGTTTTTGTTTTTTCTTCCCTTTTCTTTTCTTTTTCGTTTTTGAGTGGGGTATTTCATATTATTTTTTATACGTACAAGATCATCTTCAAAGAATGTGGGAATATTGAATACGTATTTCAATCCAAATTTGTTTTAAGGAAAAGCTATATTGGGAAACGAGGGCTTGCTGTCCCGACCGTTCGCTGTCCCATTATGTTAAAAAAAGAGTGCTAAGATAAAGAAACAAAGTCGCCGGCCTTGATGGCCTAGAAAATGGCACGCCCAAATGATGGGATGCTATCATGGTCCGATGACAGCCTGTAGACCCTGACTCTCTTTCAATTTTAGCCAAAGGAAGGTGGCGTCGGTGCTTTTACTGTCGCTCAGCGCCTTGAGAAATTCGTGAAAAGCTAAATCCTGCCGTTCCCATTTCTTGTGCAAATCTAGATTGGGGTCAGCTAGACAATGGTCAATCGTCAGTCAAGTTAAATTGAGTGTATCGAGGCCTCAACAGCTCACCTGGACGAGGGTGCATTTTCGACTCCTCGAGTATCAAATCCACCTTTTGTTTAATCTGGCCTTCCAGATTGTGGTCGACTATGGCTTTGCGCAGCGCCTCGGTGCGAGCCACTGCCGGGTTACTCATGCTCGGAAACCCTTTCGGATCAAAATCCGTGAACTGGCCGTCTTGCGTAGTGGGGATCTTCTCCTCTCCAAGATGCTCAACAGCGACCCTTTTCAGGAGCTGATAGAGATTTTCTCGCTCCTGTGCAATATTCGGCCCCGCATACTGAGTCTTTGTAATCAAACAGCCGTTGTTACGATATCGCAGTACCCGCTTACTCTCCGGGATCTGACTCGGAGAAAGATTCCTCGCATCCTCTGTGTTCTCCGTCAGGCATTGCGCGTACAGCGTCCAGGATCCATTCTTGTACTGCATGCATGCGGTGGCTGCAGCAATCTTGCGACGCGTGGGGTCGCTGTATTCCTCCGCATAGTCGCAATGGTCGACGGCCATGCGGACATTATCGTACAAAACGGAGCTACAGTAGCGAGAGTCGTGGTAGACACGTATGCCATCGCTCCTGCCCACAACAACCAGCGAGCAACCGACCAGCTCGCCGGTAAAGAGCAGGTCCGCGCCCGGAATGGTCGGAATGTCGACGAACGGGACATTGTGCCCCTGCAGGCTGATAGACTGGTAGCCAACACAGTATGCCGCCGCACAGTTGTTTGGAGGTGTAGCCCACTGCAAGTTATAGACCGTGGGAGGCACCTCGTTCGCGGGTTTACTCTTGACCAGCTTTACAATGGCCGGCTGGGCAGCGGGAGGAGGTCCCATATTCTCCGAGCCAACGGGGTGGGCTTTGAGGAAGGACACGATATCCTGACGGAGTTGGTGAATGTCGGGGCTGGGGTCGCCACCGGCTCTATATCACACGGTGAGTATGGGATGACTGCTTGGGGTTTGTGACGCACTGAATTCCTTTAATTGGGCGCTGCATCTTGACCAGAAGTGTCGAAGTTGGAGAGAAGTCGAGGGATGCTTTCTCTCAGGTTGGCGGGGTTTGACGGATGAATTTATAGGTATCGCACCGTGGGGCTCTCGCAGGATTTAATATCTACATCCCTATGAAAGTGGAATAAGCCATATGAGCCAGGCCAGCCAGGCGTGTTGATACGAGCCCATAAACCTCAGGCTGACACACCGGCCGACGTGCTCGACGACTTGGAGCCCCCGTATTCAGCCTCATCTCGAGTGGCGCTGGCTTTGACCCTCCTGGACCGCGCTGAAGGTTTGGTTAATTGACCGTTGCGATATTGTCCGCCGTGTGGCTGTCCTCGGGCACTCCGCTCAGGCCAATTTGCACTTGGTTGTTGGTGTCACAGCTTACTACGGTAACAGTCATCGGTCGGCCACCACAATTCGTCCATACTTCGTCCACCGCTCTCCTACTGGTTGGACTTAACACTTTCACAGGCCCTTCCTTGACATCATGGACCGAGACTGGTTCCCCCGGTCCAGAGCGACCAAATTGAGGGACTTTTGGTCGGGGGAAGAGAGTTTCCACGCGGTCGGCACAATTATTCTGTTGGAACATCGGGATGTATCCTTCCGTCCGCCTGCCCTGGGGTTCGACCTCGCTTAGTCATTACTTAGTAAGCTAGATATCTTAGATAGTTAAGTGGCCACACCGGCCACCCAATACACAAGACATCCATCGCTTCCCACATATAACAGAGCTCACGTGACTAATCACTGAGCACAGGCTGAGCACCGAGTGAGTGCTCACTGAGTGCTCACTGAGCGGTCAGCCGTGATCAGAGATTTATCATAGTGCCGTTTGGCGTGCTGGCAATCTGCGGACGCATTGAAGGATCGAAAGACGCCGAAACTGTTTGGTACAATGCTGTTTGTTAGTTACTGTTGGCCGTCTCTCTAGGCGTAATTGCTAGTAATGTTACCCATAGGAATATCGAATGATGAAGGTCTGATTCTTTCAATCTAGTTGCAAACGGTAGTTTAAATACATGAAAAATAATAAGCAATCTAGCCTAAAAAGGCAGTTAGAAGAGACATAACTTTTGAACTATAGAAATAACAGAAAACTCTGCATAATCCTCGGGAATCGGTAGTTACCAATACCGATATCCGGAATAGGAAGGTCTCCTATGTAACCAGCGGTCACATACGGTTGACAGTTACAGAGTTTAAGGGGGTGTATATGTCTAGTAACTTACGTCTTAAGTAAACAGCACCATCCCTTTGCGATCAATCGGAATCCGTGGGAGTGGGCATCATACAGGCGTGGCATTTCCCCGGTTACTGCCCTCCGTCTTGATCGAACCCGCAGTGACAACAACTATGCCAGCTGCCAGTGACATTCTGTTAGATGGTGCAAGATCCATGTTGGATTTTTCAGAGCCAGTGCTATCGAAAGTCCCCGCGACACAAGACCCATGTCCTGTAGAGACAGACCATCTTGACCGCATCCATCCTGGAATGCGAGAAATTGACTTACCTGGTAAGTTGGCACAGCACTCGATGAAAGTCGGCCATCAATGTTTCATTGTCTGACTTTTATTTGCAGAAGCTGTTCCTGATACAAAGGAAATGGAGACTTCCCGACTCTCCTGCGTGCCCTGTGTGACCGTGCCAACACCCGAACAAGCGAATAATACCCTTTGCAACCAATCTGCGGTGGGCGATTCCGAACAAGAATCAGCCAAGCAGAAATTGTCTATCACAGGTCCCTTCTACTCTGACAGTATGCACCCTGGCGACAGTGAAATGGACACAGAGCCAAGTCAGACATCTGGCCTAGGTGAGAATCTACTCCGGGGCAAACGGTGTTGTCAGCGAATATGGGGCAATTTTACCGCCAGGATTCAACACCTTGCCGTTTCCGTCTAGATCAACTCTGACGGCATTTCATGGCTTCGAGATAAGCCGATTTCAAAGAAGCCACGTAGTCATATTGCATGTTAAATAGCTTCGTTTCGATCCTCTAGATCAAGAGGATCAGACCTTCATTGAGCCTCGATTCTGCATACAAATTACTAGGCAATACGAAACCTTATTGTTCCAATAGTTATGAGCCCGGAGACCCTTGGTATCGGAAACGTTTACCTTCATTCATTTGATCTCTTTACCAACCCCTTTGCAACCATTTCGATTGTCTAAAGCACAAGAATTGAAGTTATACAACATGAGTTCCACCGCTTCGAAGGTCTCGGTCGTTTTGAACGATCGAAACGATTGGAAACTATAGATCGATCGGATCCGCATCTCTGCTGGTAATCAGTGGGACTTTTTCAAACCTAATAGCGATAATTCAACTCGCAGCAAGGTCCCGAAAAGGCCAGAGCCTGAATTTCCTAGACAGGAAGAAGGTGAAGCCAGAGATATCTTCAAAGAACGCTAGGATAGGTATGCTGAAGAGTTAAAGATAGCTACCAAGGCGTACAACAAATATGATACCCTCAATACGAAAATCATGCAGTATATCGCTGATTCAATCCCTTCACGATACTTCTACTTGATTAGCAACAAGTCATCGGCATACGACCAGATAGTCGCTTTACAGGGACGGTTTAAACCTTCAACATACGAGGAACAATCCTACTGCCTTCGAGCATACGAGAAGGTGTGCCACGGCCCTAAAAGGTCTCAAGACATCAAGAAATGGATAGAGGACTTTGAGGCCGTAGCAGGAAGCTGTATTAAAGCAGAAGTACCCATAATATCTCAATCAGTATTGGTCCATACGTTCTTGAAGGCGATTGCAGAGTTTGATCGAATCTATGCAATACCTGAACTGAAGCAGTATAGAAACTGTACTGCAGAGGAAAGGGAAACGTTAACTCTCGGCGAAACAATCGACAAATATCTCCTATATTTCGCTGAAGAAGGAGCGGATTCATTTGAAAAAACAAACGTATTCGCTACTCTTCAAGGAGTCAGTGATCAGCAGAAGAATAAAGCCAAAAACAGTGCAGGATCTTACGATACTCAACCATACATTCCTATCTGCATCTGCAAGGCAAAACACCGTTTTTATGACTGCCCCTACCGACAAGGTCAAACGTCGCAGTGAGATGCAACGCATCTCAACGGCTTCAGTAGAGCGTTGGCACCAGCGAATGGGCCACCTCCACGATGAAGCGATTCATCACCTACACGAAGCGGTTGAAGGAGTAGAGATCTCGTTTAAATCTCGTGATCCACACTGCGAGACCTGCCTGCTCGCTAAGCCGATTCGTCAGATCTCAAGGAGGCCAGTAGAGAGATCCCCAGACGCCTGGGATAAGGTCCATTTTGACCTTATAAAGGTCAGCTCTGCATACAACGGTAACCAGTGGATTGATAACTTTATGGATAACGTTACAGGCTGGAGAAAGATCTATACAGCCCCGAATAAGAATGCTCTGGTCCCTGAGATCAAAAGCCTCGTCAAATGGATCAAAACCTACTTCAACAAGATCCCTAAGACCTTTGTCTGTGATAACGAGCAGACGCTCGGACGAGAGTTTATTCTCTTCTGCAAAGATAAAAGAATTACAATATTACATTCGGTTCGCTACACCCCGGAACAGAATGGCTTCATAGAGAGAGGCGGAAGAATCATAACTTTACGATTACGGAATTTAATGATTAACTCCCGTTTACCCGTCGATCTATAGCCTTATGCAGTTGAAGCTTCTGTATACCTGCTTAATCGTACCCCCACTAAACGAGGAAATCAGTGGACGACCCCCTTTGAATGCCTGTATAGCAAGAAACCCCGCTTGTCAGGACTTCATCTCTTCGGATGCAGGGCGTACGTAAGGATCTACCGGAAAACGCTCAGCGACAAGATGACTCCACGAGCCTAGATAGGCTACCTCGTGGGTTTTACAGCTTCAAATTTGTGGAAGATATGGAGCCCTCAAAAACGCAGAGTTTATAAAGAAAGAGACGTTATATTCAACGAAGATCGTCTTTACGATCCAACCGAACCGTTCCTAGAAGATATTATCGCTAAGGAGGTACCTGTACCTCCAGGAACTATAGGAAATCGCTTACCAGCAAGGTTCCTGCAACAAGACGAAGAATCGAACATTTCTGACTCTGATGATGAAATTCAAGAGGTTGTGCGATATCGTGAGGCTCCAGCTAAGCGAGATAGTAAAAATAATCAGGAATTATCTGACCTGCCTACCTTACCAACGCCTGAAATAACGCCTGAAGTAATGCCTGAGCTATTTCAGCAAGATTTAACTCGTCCATCCACTCCACTATCCTATGAATCGATTCCTGGAGGATTCCTTGCCGAATCGCCTCAAAGGCAACCTACAGAGGCCAGGGAACCCTCGGGAGGTAAAGACAACGAGTTCAAAGAGAGCTAGTCTCCTGGGGATCAGCTAAACAATCAGTTAAATAAAATGATGTTAGTCCCTAATCCTATACCCCCTGATCCTCGCCCAAGGCAGCGAAATAAGCGAGATAGGGATCACACAGACCTAAACCCGGAAATTAACGTGATTACTGGTAGAAGAAATCGACGACCAGTAGCAAGATACAACACAGAAGAATAGAGTGTAAATTTTAATACCTACTATACCGTTTTCTGTACGGCGTACGCGAATACGATCCTTGATCAACCAAGGTTAAAATACGGAGATCTTTCTCCTCTTCCACGCTTCTACAAAGACCTATATTTGCATCCTTTTGGGCCCGATTTCAAAGCGGCCATGCAGAAGGAATACGGAGATCTCGCCAAGAAGGGAACATTCCGTGAAATCCCTAGGTCTACGCAGATGATACAGGTCCTTCCTCTGCTATAGGTCTTCACATACAAATTCAATGTGGAAGGACAGTTAGATAGGTATAAGGCACGCCTTTATATGCGTGGAGACCTTCAAATTATGACTAGAGATGACAAAAATGCGGCTACGCTTGCTGCAAAGACATTTCGAACCTTAATGGCCCTGACAGGTGTATACGACCTCGAAATGAGAGAGTTTGACGCCTTAAATGCCTTCGTAAATTCAGAGATAGACGAAATCGTTTATATCGAATGCCCTGACGGCTTCAAAGTGCCCGGTAAAGCCTTTCAATTTCTTAAGGCGCTATACGGATTGCGCCGTGCACCTCGCCTTTGGCAGCTTTACCTAGCTGCGACGCTGAAAGCAGTAGGACTTAACCCGGTAAAACAGGATCCCTGCCTATTTACTGACGGAATTGTCATTCTAATCTTTTACGTTGATAACTTTATCGTTTTGTCAAGCGCTGCAAACAAAAGACGCGCAAATGAAATCATTGAGTTTCTTTCATTGAAATACTCTCTACGTGAGATAAAGAATGCAGACACTTTTCTCGGAATTAAAATACGCAAAGATAGAGGAAAACGAACAATTTATCTCTCGCAATCAGTCTATATAGACAAGATCACAACAAAATTTAACCTGAAGACATTTTAACCGCCTAAATTGCCGCTCCCTACCGTTTCAATGACTCTATACAGCGGGAAGGCGTCCCCTAGGCAGATACAGGAGTTCCAGGAGAAAGTGGGCTCAATCCTCTGGTCAACGGTAATTACGAGGCCAGATATTGCAAAATCGGCTTCTGAATTATTGAGATTCCTAGTCAATCCTGGCCCCGATTACCTAGCTGCAGCAAACCGCGTGATTCAATTCCTATACGGAACCCGCTTCTACGGAATCAGATATTCCAAATCAGGCGATCCAAACGCAGGAGAGGTATTTATCATGGCCAGCAATGCAACATTCGGAGATCATACAGATAGGAAAAGCTCTAAAGATCTCGTTTGCCTCCTCTACGGCGGTCCCGTAGATTGGCATGCAGGCAAACAAAAGACCGTTTTAACCTCTACTACAGAGGCGGAATTACTCGCTATCTCTAAGGCAGGCAAAAACGTATTCTGGTGGAAACACTTATTTAACGTCTTGCAATTCAACCTTCAACATAAAATCTCTATCAAATGCGACAACAGGCAGACTGTCCGTATTCTCCAGAGCGAGGATTCATCCTTGCCTATACGCCTTCGTCATATAGATATTCATCAATACTGGTTCCGTCAGGAGGTGCAGAACGGTCAGATCGCCGTCGAATGGGTCGCTACGGCTAACATGCCTGCGGATGGCCTTACCAAGATCCTCCCGATTCAAAAATACCGAAACTTCATGAAGATGTTGAATCTGCACGAATTCATCGACAAGGAGGACCCCTATACAAGTGCCTAAACTGGCAATCTATTCAGCTTCATCTACGATTCAGCTGAGGAGGTGTGTCAGCGAATATAGGGCAATTTTACCGCTAGGATTCAACACCTTGCCGTTTCCGTCTAGATCAACTCTGACGGCATTTCATGGCTTCGAGATAAGCCGATTTCAAAGAAGCCACGTAGTCATATTGCATGTTAAATAGCTTCGTTTCGATCCTCTAGATCAAGAGGATCAGACCTTCATTGAGCCTCGATTCTGCATACAAATTACTAGGCAATACGAAACCTTATTGTTCCAATAGGTGTTCCGGGGCGGGCTGGGGTTTCCGGCACTACTGATGACAAGTCAGGCCCACCTGGATCGGCCCCTCCGCCGATCGTGTACTCTACTCCAGAATTTTCTAATACTCGAACAACGCCGAGCTCCGATAGCCCGATGCGCTATCCTTCGATAGCTGTGGTTATACCGCCACCATAATGGGAGCAAGGAGCCATCCGGACAAACACAAGGGCCTCTGATCGAGACACCGGTAACTACGAAGATGGGAACGCAATCTTCTATGACACACAACAACCAAGTGAGAAGCGGAAGAAACGGAGACCTTCAATCAGGCCTCTTTCTGATCCTCCGGACGCTTCTATTCCCGTTTCATGCTATTGTTCCGGTGCTATCCATGCAGAGTGTTCTAGACCAGTATTGGCACCTGCATTAGGTGTTTTGGAAGAGTGGCCCAAATAAACCTGAAAACCCTGAATTGTGATTGATTATTTACCCTCCGGTGGCGTCACTCAGCTTTTGCAGAATATGCCATGATTCGCACAGCGGATGGCAGCCCGCACAGAACCAGTGGGCTTCTCATTGGGTGCAAGCTAGAACCGCGCACTGAAATGAGACGGAGTGCACAAACATCATTCCATCTGTACAGAGGGCCAGGATGATGTTGATAGCGAGAGTCAAGGCTTCTACTTCCCTCCTCTAAGTATATTATATAGTATTGCAAGTTCAAATGTTTCATTAGTATAATTCAATTTATATATTTTATACGCTTTTCTATTATTCTACCACAAGACTATTTGTTGGTATCACCAGCTAGGTTCTGTGTACACAGTTAAGTGAACAGGGTTTTGCTTCCAAAACGAAAAGTAGATTCTGTATTGATTAAGATATGTGTTCCCCTTGAGTTCTGATGGGGAGTGGGATTACTTATGTCCCAATCCATCTAGCCTACACACAAGGGAGATTATGTCCCGACACTATTATAAATTTAATAATTTAAATAATAATATATAACCAATTATAAAGAACTTAATATATAGCGTTGAGCTGCGGCCTGGAAATGCCTAAGTTCTGCCTTCATGTTTTATATAGGCCCGTATGGCTTCATATTCGAGAATATCATCCCTTTTACACCTCTCTGCTCGTCTGTATAGCATATTCTGCCATTCCTGCCCTTTACATATGTTGCATGTATAGTGGTGGTGGCTTTCTTCCTCCATATCGACCTGTGTGACTAGTCCATACTGCTATTGAGCGCTCCACTCTTCAATATCTAATCTTTCTTTTCCTATAGAGAAGTACTCTCTTTCTACAAGTAAGATTCCCTTTCTATCCAAAGGATATCTCCTTTCTGTCCAAAAGGTATCCCTTTTCTATACAAGCATTTCCCTTTCTTTTGGAGAGATACTTGTCCTGTAACTCCTAGTGTTGTAACTTATCACATGATTCATCCTGTTGCCTTAGACCTTGTAAAACCCCTATCACTTCTTATCCAAGTTGATTGGGTCTCCTTTCTCAAGGGTCTCCTTTCTCTATTCTATCAACTCTTCATAGTAGGTCCGTATCAGAGAGCTTCGCCCAAACGTCCTTCATGAGGTCACCTTATAACATTTTTATGACTTGTGCTCGGAGCTGGATTCGAGTCCAATATTGTGACCATAGGTTGCATAGGCCTCCTCAGTGCGGTTCTGGAATGCGAAGCCTACAACTGTTATTACGAACAAGAATTTATCTACATGGGACAGAAACGTACCTGGTTGAGCAATGTTTAAGGCGAACACTGCCAGGGTCACCATTACCGACTCTAGCCCAATAAACAGACCCTCCTCGTGGAAGATTGACCCACTGTATCCTTCACTGAGCTCGGCAATACGGTAGCAGCAACGGATAAGGATAAAGAGAATAGATGCCGAGAAGAAAACGCCAAAGATCCCGAGGCGCGTCGAGAGGATCCGGCGTTGATCCACTTGCTGAGACTTACGGTACGATATGTAGCGCAAGAAGTAGTCTAACGCCATAGCGATAAAGACAAAAAGAGTGAAAACCTGGAACGCCAGACCTGCAAGCGTGATGTACTCGCCCGATTTGTCATTTCCCACCGAAGTCGATGATAACGCGCCGCCCACGGCCTGCAAGACCAAACTAACGATATCGCACGGCAAAAACACCCACACGTATGTCTTGACCGGAAACCTGGAAGCTTCGGGGCCCAAAAAATTGGAGACATTGCCGAGCGAGACGTAGATGGCGGCGGCGAAGAAGACGGGCGATATTGTAATGCAGCAGATCTCGATGATGAAGCCGTTAAAGGAGAAGGGGTTCTGGTATAGCAAAACGCGCCCGCCGTAACCGATCATCTCGCCGATGCAGCCGAGCGCCAGCATGATGGCGAAGAACCAGGTGCGGTAGCGGATGCCCTGGGCCAGGTGGATGAGCATGGAGACGCCGAAGAGGGCGATGAATGCGATCTGCACACCTAGGGCGGGCCGGTAGCCCTGGAGGCTGGCTTCGACGGGGCATAGGGCGAGGGTGCAATTGGCGTCGGGGCCGTAGGAGACCAGGTACTGGGAGAAATCATCTTGGCCGGCTGCTTCGGGGGACGACATTGTGGTAATAAGGATCGAAGATGCGTCGAGCCTCAGCTTAGGGTTAGGAAGTGTCGGAGTGACAGAGATTAGAAAGAAAGAAAGGTGGAGAAGGAAGGCAAACTGGCTTGATTTCGTGGTAGAGCAAACTCGTAGCGGGCCCAAGAAAGTAGATCAATAAAGAGTGAGTGGATGCCAGAGTGTTGTGAGCCAAGATGAAAAACCAGACTGTGGTTCAAAAGGAGGATGCGAGTGTAGTCTTAATAGATCAAAGCTGGTGCCTGCCGCACGACACTAGTAGATTCAAATCTGTAGCCTAAAAAAACGATCGGCGATTAAGTGTGAATAGCCAGAGGGGCGCAGGCACCTGGGAGGAATCAAACAAAGAATCTTGGAAGCACAGACTGTTATTGGTCGAAAACCCGCCGATGCTAATGCACCATTGCCCTATTTTAGGAGCCTCGGCTGACGACGCATGAATGAAAGAGTAAGGGAATGGGAAGCTGGAAAGCCTCGTAAGGTAGAGGGCAAGGTTCAGGGGTAATTCAACGACCCAGAAGTACTACGTAGATAACCTTCTACCTAGAAACGTCGAAGCTGTTAAATCTATACGGCTTATTGACGAGAAATCATGGCTTTTACAAGAGGATGGGGACCCTTCCCATGGGATAAGGAAATATGGACTAGCACAAGAGCACGGGAAGGCCCACAATATCTAAAACCTATGGGACCATCCTGCCCAGAGTCCGGATCTTAATCCTGTTGAAGGTATTTGGGTTATTGTAAAGCAACGCGTACGCCGAAGAATCTTCGATTCCGAAGAAGAGATGAAAGAGGCTCTACAAGAGGAATGGGACAAAATCGCGCAAGAGGAGATACAGCACCGGATTACGGATATGAATAGAAAGATGCGCAGAACTTGTACGATCGAATGGAGGTCCTCTTCGAGGTTTCTAAGTGGTAGTTCAGGTCTTGTACAGATTTAGCCTATTACACAGTGACGCTGGACCTGATAATGCGGTCGATAAGTTTAATCGCTTGCGATATTTCCGAGCAATCTCCTTTGGCAATTTGTTTCCTCTTCCAACTTCTAGATAGTACAAATCATGCGCATTCTTGTCGAATGCCAAAAAGCCGATGATGCGTCACCAGCGATGGTGAGGTATCGCATTCCTCCAAGTTGTGGAGTGTTTTCAAGTCATCTCGGCGAATTCTGGCTCAGCCACTCACCCGCGGCTTTTCATGCACCAATCGATTTGCCTCTTCCACTCCCAAACCCGTCTTGTGTTCAACATGCTCATCGGAAAGTTCCTCGCTTCCAACGAGGAAAGATGCAATGAGTCCAATTCCGGAAAGAACGACGAAGAATATCCACATATCGGCAAGACTGTCCTTTACAAGCAACCTGAAAATGTCCTGCTGGGCCGGAGTGAGCTGTGCAACGAGTTCCATAGATCCAGCTGCGCCATTCCGTGCAATTGCTTCCGCCATCGTATGGCTGACTCCAGCAACAATGAGACGACCGTTTTGTGCCGAGAGTCGATTTTCAATGATGACGCCGCCCAGGACGATGCTGAAGGCGGCGCTGAGTGCGCGGATTGCACTGGCCGCGGAGACGGCGACGCCCGCGTCGGCGGGCGGAAATCTTGCTTGCAGGGCAATGGTCGGTGCCTGAAAGTTGGGACCCAGGCCGACAGCGATAATCAGTTGATAGATGATGAACTTTGGCCAATTGGTTTCTGCACCGAAATCGATCAACAGACCGGTGCCCAGAGTGGAGAGAGCCATGCCTGCAATGATCATGTATAAGTACTTTCCCGTCTTCCGCATATAAAGACCTGTCCCGATGGTGAAGAGAGACAGGGGAAGGGCGAGAGGAAGGGACCAGACCGCCGAGTTAATCGGTGTTGCTCCAATAACCACCTGGAAGTAGAATGGGACAAAGTAGGCCGTGCCGTACAAAATGAATCCGTGCGTGAGATCCACCACGAAAAGGGCGATAATAGGGAGAGTCCTGAACAGTCGTAGAGGGATCACCGGATAACGGGCCAGCTTCCACTCGATGGTAACAAAGATACCACAAACCACCACGCCGAAAACTATCAAACATATGACAATGGCAGAGCCCCAAGGATATACCTCACCGCCATACTGGAGGCCCAGGAGAAGCATAAGGACCGAACCTGTAATAGCAATCGATCCCAGCCAATCAACAGCCATTAAGCCTTTGATAATTTCGGTACGGGGATTGTGAACGTGGAGGAAAAAGACCAAGAGGGCAAAAGAGATTCCCTGGAACGGTAGATTGATGTAGAAGCACCATCTCCAGCCGACATTTTCCGCAAGTGCTCCTCCTATGAGAGGACCGGAAGATATTGCGATGGCATATACCACACCGAGAATGCCAAAATATAGTCCGCGTTCTCTGGGAAGTGGGTCAGCGCATTCTAGGGAGCAGTCTTTGGAGGAATAAAGTACTTTCATAGCGGGAATTCACAATGTCACTTACCTTGGACTGACGAGATCTCCTATTAGAATCATCACGATGAGCAGCACGCCGCCGGCTCCAGCACCTTGAATAGCACGCCCAGCAATAAGCATGGCAATGCTATTTGCTACGGCACAAACCAAGCTTCCAATGAAAAAGACGAACATTGCCAGTAACGTAATTGGCTTGCGTCCAAAAATGTCGCTTATCTTGCCCCAAAACGGAGCCAAAGCGGACTGGGTTAGGAGATAAGACGAACCAACCCATGAGTAGCTGATTTGAGAAGCCTTGAAGTGCCCAGTAATTGTCGGCAAGGCGGTTGTGACGAAGGAGATGTCAAGAATAGCAAGGAACGACGCGACGCTGAGTGCAATCATGATGGGGACCATGTTTCTGCGTGGCGTGTAGTCCCCCCCATCATCTTGTGATTGAATTTCCGCATTTTCAGACCGAGTCTCAGGGGTTTCTGGTTGTTGCATCGTGCTCTCAGAACCTGAGTTGCTCGACACAGCTGGATCCATGTCAAAGCGCCGCAATATAGTTTGGGGCAATAACGGGGAAGGAGAATATTATCACGTGATTCGCGTGACGGCAGCAAAGCGACACTTTTCTGATGTTTGACCGAGTTGGCAAGGTACTGGGAGAGACCATTTGATCTGGATATGCGGCTGAAGATGAATTGTTATTCCAGATTATGCTGTCTACGGAAAGTGATCTGGCGCCATGGGTTTCCTTGGCCTCTCTGACGTTCGGCGCTTTTCAGCCATTCAGATCTATAGATGAAGAGCTCCACTCACGATGACCGGCGATTTTGAGTATCAGCTGCATGCCACAGCAAGGCCACCAATAGCAGTGCCACTTCCTCACGACGATGTAACTAACCTAAGGCCTATCATATATTGAGGTCCGTTCTGCCGCGCCCTGGCGATTCCCATTGTCCCAACAGTCCTAAGAATAGCGAAGCTAGTGTTCTGCGTCAAATCTTGCGTAATGTTTGCAATCCCACGGAGCCAGAATGCCTTGGTGGTTGCCGGCCCGGGCCACGTGGCCCCTGGTATGGCCCTTGTTCGCACTGTTGCTGTCGCTATTAATCCCGTCGACGCCAAGATGCTCGATTACAGTCCAGCAGTTGGCGCTATTCATGGATGCGACTTCGCCGCGGTCGTTGTCGCACTCGGGTCAGACGCCCCGCGTCATCTTTCCATCGGAGACAGGGTTGCTGGGGCCGTTCATGGGAACAACTCCCTGGAGCCCCGTGTCGGTGCCTTTGCACAGTATGTTGGAGCGATCGCTGAGCTGCTCCTCAAGATTCCTGACGCGATGACTTTCGAGGAGGCATCCACTCTTGGCATCGGCTTGGCCACCGCGGGTCTTGCCTTTTTCCGCGATTCAGAGATTCCCTGAGTATCGAGGATCTGATCGACAGGGCCGGGCCGGAGTCGGATGTCACACCGAATACGGCGTGGGTCCTTGTATCTGGAGGCAGCTCCGCCACTGGCACCAGGGCCATTCAACTTCTCAAGCTGTAAGCTCTTGAGCGTTCGCGTTTAGTTTCGTCGGACTGAAAACGGCTCGCTGATGACAGGACTCTGCAGGGCAGGATTACGGTCAATTGCAACTTACTCGCCGTCGAATTTCGCACTGGTCCTCGGATTTGGGGCCGAAAAGGCATTTAATTACCGCAGTCCGGACTGCGCCAAAGAGATTCGTGCTTACAGGCGCAACGGCCTGGCGTAGTTACGCGCTCGACTGCGTGTCTGAATCAGACAGCGCCCGGCTGTGCTAACTATGACGCAACTGGTAGGGCTGGCGGACGGTATTGCGCGCCCGACCGTCCGCGCTTCGTGGCTGATGGTCCTGACCATGTTCGGCGGTTGCGTCGCGTTGGATGGTGAGTACGCGTGCGAAGCATCAGCTGCAGATCGGGCCCTGAGTGCGACGATCTTTGCGGCTACGCAAACATTGCTTGGCAACGGTCGCATCAAATCTCACCCAATCAGAGTCCTAGACGACAGCTGCGCCGGTGTCATCCATGGTGTGGACATAATTCGTACTGGGGCGATCTCAGGACAGAAGTTGGTTGTCCGCGTCGACTGATACGCTTGTCGAGAAATGCAGCTAGATATCATGCCCGCGTGTTCCGATGTTGCTCCGTGTAATATGCCCTAAATAAGATCGATACTCGACTGAGATACTTCGCACAAAATTTATTGTTACTTGTAGTGCGGTAGATGTGCACGTGGCAAGAATGATATATGGGTAAAAGGATGAATGAGAAATGGAGTTCTACGGACGTTCCTAGCTAGATAAGTGTGTGCTGTCGTTTGTAGCCCATAAAATTCAACAGAAAGTCATTACAAGCTACTCGGCAGACTCATGAACCGAAGGCGTCTGTAACCTTGGAGTAAGACAGATTTCCAACTCCTGGAGGTCGTTCCATAGCTTGTGTTCAGCCTCGCTGATTTCGTGAGATCCTGTATAGGTAGTTGGCTGAGAGCCCGACCGTGCCACTGTCAGACCATATGCACCATAGCCACGCCGCACGTGTTCCAGCAGATGCTTGACAAGGTTAAAGATCACCACCAGGCGAAGTCGGGCGAGGGAGAAGGGGTCGCCTTGATGAAAATCCGGTGGGTTCGACGCCTCATATGACATAAGCCTGACCAGAATCGTATGCACGTGGAGGAGTTGGACATAACACGCAGAGAGAAGATGCTGCAGGGCAGCCGGTAAAACCTCATCATTCGGGGAGTCGAAGAGCCGAAGCCGATACATGACCAGGAGCAAGCTCTTTGATGCGAGACAGGCTTCCGTGAATATCTCGTACTCGTCCAGGCTCGGTAGGGCTCTCAGGAAAGTCGTCAAGGAATTGAAGGCGTTCGTATGAGAGACGAGATGGGGCTGGAGCTCCAGGCTGGCGATCTTGTTGCGACACGTGGTGTGAAGCGTATAGAGGCTGCAACTTAGCGCTGCCAGCTGCTGCATCGAATTTGTGAAAATGTCATCGTGGGATAGCTCAGCAGATGAGGCGCTTGAGGTGTATGTTGTTGTTTCCATGGCAAGATCAGCGAATGATCCCATGTCAACTGCAGTCCCTAACAAGGGCCATGGTTCCGACTCAAACCAGGTCTCTGCCGGATAGCCACAATCTTGAGACACCAGTACTGATGGGAGCTCGTCAGATATCGTTTCCTGGTTGTCTATTGGTTCCGGGGTAGTTTGCGAGGGCCGAGGCAGAAGAGGTACCTCCATCGGCGTTCTATTGCTCTTGCTGGTCGACTTCCTGCTTCCGCTTGGTCGTCCCCTTGGCAATGGCGCGCTATAGACACATTGTATCCCCAGATATCGGCATCGGGCACAGCTGCTCACATCGTCCGAATCCGGTCGATGGCATCCGACTTTCTGGAGATGACAGCGATCGCATGAGGCTCGTTTTGCCGGGGTCGGTCTGGTCGAGCTGCTCTCCATTTGCTTGGTTCAAAAGCAGGTGTCATGGGCGGAGCCATGTGACAGAATAGTCTGTATATTGCAATAGTTTCTATGTACAGAGGGAAGGTGGGAGGGAGAAAATGGAGTCTTGACTGCGTGAGAGATGAGGAGCTACCACCAGAGGTAAGCAGTTGACTCCCATGGCGCAGTTGCGGGAGGGGAGGAACCCCACGTGTATATTACTTGTATGGTGTGGCAGAAAAATACCGCTCCACTAAAAAGGGTCAACCCTTAAAAAGGGTCAACAAAGGGTCAACCCTTAGTAGTAAGGGTTTTTCTAGTGTATATACGCGGCGACATATGGAATCTGTAATCTCTTAAGTGGGTTTGGCTGGGGTAGGGACTTCCCAAGTAGGCTTAGCAGCGAGTGGCCCCACAGGGAAACTAGGCTGCATCGGATCCGGATCTGCCCTCGGCGTATCAGGGCGGATTTGGCTACAGCCTCAGCCAGGGCTGAGAACAGAAGGCATCTTTTTGAGGTCTACTTCTCAATCTCAAACTAGTGCTGAAATGTAACCATATCACACTCCATAGGGCCGTGCTGCATCTTCTGCTCGGGGGCCAATCGCCTTTCTAACCCCTGTCAGAGAACCGAGATCACCCGTAGACGTTCGCTCTCGTTGGGACCCAAAAAGACATGTGTGTTGGTTTTAATTCCTTCTAACTTGATTAGACCGAGTGTTTTCATGTTTGCTTATTTCTTTTCTTTGTTTCAGTCATTTTATTCTGTTGGGCGAAGAATCTAGCAAGTCATGCCAGATCCTTCGACTTATCAACACCTAAGCCACGTATTCTAACCAATCGAGATCCTTCACCTGTTGCGAACAGGATCCATCATAGGGATGTCGCAAAGGCTGTCAAGGCTTGCCGCTTCGGATGTTTAAGAGCCAATGAAAATGAAGGAATCGCTTTTCTAAAAAAACAGTCTCTTGCTCCATGATATCGCTCGCTCTATAAAATTTGTATAACTTAAGACGTGGTAGCTAGTTGGGTCCTCGCATTCGATTCCAACATCGTCGAACTTGTTATTCCCTGTATTTCACTCATTATATCATTCAACACCTTTGTACAATATGGATTATCAACCTTCCGAGCCCATCGCTATTGTCGGCAGCGGTTGCCGTTTCCCCGGTGCTGCCAATTCTCCTGCTGCTCTCTGGCAGCTGTTGGAAAGTCCACGTGATATCTTGACGGAGATACCTAAAGAACGTTTTGATGTGCGAGGCTGGTACCACAGAGACGGGGATCACCATGGCACGTCCAATGTTCTACACTCCTACACCCTGGAGGAGAACCTTACCCAGTTTGATGCCAACTTCTTTGGAATTAGTGCAGGTGAGGCTGAGTCTATTGATCCTCAGCAGCGCCTCTTGCTGGAAACTGTCTACGAGGCCCTTGAAGCTGGCGGCCACACCATCCAGTCTTTACGTGGCTCTGACACTGCCGTCTATGTTGGTGTTATGGGAGGGGACCATGAAGCCGGCCTTCTCAGAGATGCCAACAATCTACCAACATACTTTGCGACTGGCACATCGCGCGCAATTCTTTCAAACAGAATATCTTACTTTTTCGATTGGCGTGGACCGTCTATGACTATTGACACAGCATGTTCTTCGAGTATGATCGCTGTGCATAATGCTGTTCAAGCACTACGGTCTAACGACTCGAGAGTTGCTATTGCGTGTGGCAGCACTCTGCTTCTAGGCCCTGGTAAACCAATTCTGCACACCGAGCGATCAAGCTAACGGATTCTAGAAATGTATGTGGCCGAGAGTAACATGCACATGCTGTCGCCCACAGGCAGATCCCGCATGTGGGATGCTGATGCTGACGGCTATGCTCGCGGCGACGGTATCGCGACCGTTGTTCTTAAGAAGCTGAGCAATGCTCTGGCTGATGGCGACCACATCGAATGTATCATCCGTGAGACTGGCATCAGCCAAGATGGCCGCACGCAGGGAATCACTGTACCAAGCTCGGAGGCGCAAGCTGCACTTATCCGCCGCACCTATGCTCGAGCTGGTCTTGACCTTGCAAATCCCGCCGACAGACCCCAGCTTTTTGAGGCACATGGTACCGGTACCAAGGTAGGAGACCCTAAGGAAGCATCCGCAATTCACTCCACCTTTGGGGGACCCGCCAGTGATCCTTTGTATGTTGGGTCGATCAAGACCGTCATTGGTCACACGGAGGGCGCTGCTGGAATCGCCGGTCTACTCAAAGCGTCGCTATCCCTTCAAGCTGGCGTCATTCCCCCTAATCTGCTGTTCAATCGCCTTAACCCGAGCATTGAACCTTTCATTCAGGGCCTGCAGGTTCCAACTCATGCAATGCCATGGCCTGTCCTGCCTAAAGATGCTGTGCGAAGGGCAAGTGTGAATAGTTTTGGTTTCGGCGGCGCCAATTCTCACGCCATCTTGGAGAGCTACCAAGCACAGGTTGACAACGCTAGCAGCGCCCTGGTTGTACCGGCTACTCCTTTTGTCTTCTCCGCAGCGTCAAACACCTCGCTCGTTTCCAATCTGCAGGCACACTTGGACTATCTGAAAACCAACCCAGTCAACATGCGGGATCTTGCCTGGACGCTCCAGCAGCGTCGCTCTACTTTCTCACATAAAATCGCATTCTCGGCTCCTGACGTCGAAAGCTTGATCCAGAAGATCGAGCTCAGACTCAAAGAGTACGAGGATAAGTCGGACGCGAACATTGGCGTCCGATCGAGTTCAACCCCTCCAAAGGTCCTTGGTGTTTTCACTGGCCAGGGCGCGCAATGGCCAGCCATGGGTGCTGAACTAATACGTTCCTCCGAATTTGTTCGCCGCCGATTGCAGGAGCTTGATGATGCCCTTGCAACCTTGCCAGCTACAGACCGACCGACCTGGAAAATTGCTGATCAATTACTCCTTGATACCAAGTCGTCTTGTATCACCGAAGCCGCTTTCTCACAGCCGCTGTGTACAGCAGTCCAAGTTGTGCTTGTCGACCTCTTGCGCAGCGCCGGGATTATGCCAAGTTCTGTGGTGGGCCACTCATCTGGTGAGATTGGTGCGGCATATGCTGCAAACTTCATCAATGCCCGGGATGCTATTCGAATTGCCTACTACCGTGGCCTTTACGCGAAGCTTGCAGGCGGATCGAGCGGACACAAAGGCGCTATGCTTGCTGTTGGAACATCTCTCGAAGATGCCACCGAAGTGATTGAGCTTGACGCTTTTGTTGGACGTGTCGCGGTCGCTGCACACAACTCCCCAGCAAGCGTTACCTTGTCGGGCGATGCAGATGCCATCGTTGAGGTCAAGGCTGTCTTCGAAGAGGAAAAGAAGTTCGCACGTCTACTTAAGGTCGACACCGCTTACCACTCACACCATATGCTGGCTTGCGGCGATGCCTATGTCAAGGCTTTGCGTGCGTGCAAAATTGAAGTTAACCGAAACCGCGATACCTCTGTGACCTGGTACTCCAGTGTGACAGGTGGTGAGGTCATGGAGCCGACTGCCCTACTTCAAGATTTATACTGGCATGACAACATGGTACAAAGAGTCTCCTTCTATGAAGCTGTGACGGCAGCAGCTCGAGCTGAGAAGCCGACTGTTGCCATCGAGATTGGG